TGATACAGTTTTTGCTTTAAAAGCTGAGCTTCAGTCTCATTTGTTTAATCTGGCATATTCTTAATTATACGAGCTGTAAATTTTATTGTATTGTGAAGCCTTGAAATACATAATATAAAAAGTGCAATACAAGTGTATTATAATTGATTGATGGGACTTTCTTATTCTCAGGCATGATAGTAACAAGCATAAGGGAGGATTCAGGATGCCAATGAAGATACTTCAGATGAGCAAGCACTTAGAGAATATACCATTAGCATTCAAAGCTCCCCCATCCTACAAGTAACTTCAACGCTTGACCGTTCAGATTCTTTGTTTTCTCTTTCTTCTTACTGAATCCAGTGCTATCACTTTTATATAATATTTGTACATCAGGCTGTCACCTTTTACACACTAGCTATTTCTAGTGTACCAATTCATATAAATATAATATGACTATATAGGACAAACTCTTGGATAGAGTAAATGGGGTAGCCCCATTTCTGGCCCACATTTATGCATTCACATAAAAAGTTGATATGGGTGAGGTAGTTTTGAAAACAAAGCAAAACAAAACAAGAAATTGATAGAAATTCTGTCTTTGAATTGCTTGCCTGTTAGAGGCTGGGAGTTCAGTCCCTGATGCTATTCATGAGAATTGTATGACATGATTTCTAGGCTGTATTGCCAGGACTGGTACTATACTACACTTCACTCTTCAGTAGGTGTTGTTAAAATAGATGTTACCTAAATGAAATTGGAAACAACAGTAACAGTAGCAAAGGTGGTAACATGCCTGAGTGATAAGTGAGGACACACAATAATTTCATTATTCATGCATGGGATCTCAGGAGATTTACTATGAAATCTCAGCTTCAAAAAATACAAGCTCTTTTCTGGAGAGGTAAAGAAACAGGTCTATCAGCTCAGTCAGTGGAAATCATCTACTTGATTAAGGCTTGATCCATTTAGTCCAGTAGAGGGCAATGACACAAAGGCTAGGGACAGAAGTTACACATAAACTGGTTTAAGTCATCAGGAACTGTTTTAAACCTGTAACAGAACAGAAGTTCAGTGCGCATAAGCTAGTTTCAAAATGGCTGAAACTGGTTTGAGATAAACCTGGATGAATGTAGTATCAGACTTAACTGCGTTGGATCAAACTGGTTTATGAAACTTCTGTCCCAGACCCCTTCCTGGTTCAAGCTAAATCACAGTCCCCCAGCATGCGTTCCAGCCCTGGGCTGTGCTGTGCAGTTTGTTTCCACCAGGGAAGGGGGGGGGAGGTAGGGACTACCCCACCCCAGGCAAACCCCAGCTGGGGTTTGGGGCTTGGAGGGGTGGTTAAACTTCTCTTCCCCCATGTACAGAGATGCCCTGCCCTGCTAAAAACTTAATGCTGGCTGTGGCTGTGGACTACAAATCCTAGATGCACCTGGAAGCAGGAAGAGGAAGTGGTGAGCAACCCTGCAGAGTCCTGTGGCTTTGATTCTGGAATGCAAATCCCAGAGACCTTAGGAGCAGCAGGAAGAGGAAGTGAACAGGCAGCCCATCCTGGCTACGTGCTAGAGAGCTGTGCTCTAGTGCCCCCTGGCTGCTGGCCTGAGCCACTGCAGGTATGTGCCTGCATTTCCTGAATAAAAACTGAATGCCTGTTCAGTTGTTTTTTATTTTAAGCTCTTTAGCTTAGACTACCCTGCAAAGACTGAATCAATTCAGCCTTGGGCTTTTTGATTGTCTGTACTTAGCCAAAGGGGGTTTATGATACACTAATGTATACCAAGGAGTATGGAATACTACAGAAAGTGCTCTAGTACAGTTCCTTGGGTGGAGCCCTGTGGTAGAATGGTGTGTTTCCCTGTTCCATAGGAAGGGGAGAAGTCTATGGCTTGCCCACTTCTCATCCTCATCCCCTCTCTTTATAGAGTTCTGAATAAAATAACCTCTGAATTTTCCAAAGAATAGGAATGCTATTATGAACAATCCCATGGCAGACAAACAAGATGTGTGTAAATCTTACTATTCATCTATCCATCATTATGTGTCTGATCAGGGGCAGCTCACAAAATGCTGCTTGTGTAACTGTACAGGCTTTGCTTTCATCAGACTCAACAGTCTGTCTCACAGTCGGAGACAATCAGCAATCAGCTTTTACCTCGGAGAAATCACATAATAAATGCAGTGGTTCCTCAGGCAGACAATGGCTTTCACTTCCTCAAAGATCTCTGAGGCCCCTGAAAGTTAATTTATCTGTGTGATTGGGATCTGATGAATTTTATCCTTGTTCCCAAAACTCATGTATCTGACCATGCCAGATGTGCTTGGCTGGGCATGCAATTTTTGGATCTGGGATAATATTCATCTGATTTTGATTATGCAACTACTGGCACAAAGGGAGCTGGGCATCAGGAATTGGTCCCTGATGCCCACCTCCCACAGCACCCTTTCAACTTACTGGCATGTGGAGATAGCACTTCCTGTGTGCCAATAAGTGGAAAGTGTGCTGCACAGCTTTAGATGCAGGAAGCTGATCAGCTGATGGGCTCCCTGCATGCTGGCAAGTAGAAATGTGCATGGTGTAACCCTGCATCTGGCTGCATTGTGTGGCTTTAGGTGCCAGCCTGCAGGGAGCTCATCAGCTAGTCAGCTCCCTGTGTGCCAGCATCTTAAGTCACTGTGCAGCCCAATGCCAAACATGTCATGCCTTCAAATTATTTTTTGACTCTTTATTTATTAGATTTCAAACCCACCCTGTTTGAAAGGCTCAAAGCGGCTTACCATAAAACAAGCAACCACCAGGCAGGATTTACCAAAGACTGCCCTGGCACCAAAGAACTATAAAAGTACAATGCAAACCAGCCACATTAAATGTGGAACATCTTTGTGGCTGTTTTTTTTAAATTTTTTATCCTGCCATAAATTGGCCGAACTCATTACATTTTACAATTGATCATGTGATCTATGCAGTACTTGTGCAATAAATGCAACATCTGTCAGAGCCCTGAACACATGAAGAAGTATCTAGTTGAGTGATGACTAGGTGGGGGAGGCAGGAAAGAATGCAAAATGTCTGCGCATTTCTACTTACTGGGTAATGGGCCTCAAACTTTATGCAAGCGACAAACATAATGGAATAAACTGAGAGCCCAAGCCACCAAGTCAGGAAAAAAGACACCTGTTAAGGAAAGCCCTTAAATGTCTGTGAGTCCTTCAGAAATCACCAAGATATAAGCACATGCCAAAAACTAAATATGTGCTTAAGGCTTTCTGAAAGTACACAAAGTTAAGCATATGTTTTAGTGCTTTTCTTAAATCCTGAATCAGGATCTTGACATGGAACAGATTTAATAGAGAAGGGCAGCCTTTGATGACTGGAAGCTCATATGGCTTTAAAACGAGTATTGTACACAAAGATCAATAGTCTTTATGGGCTGCACTTCTATTTTAAAGGCAAGAATGGCTATGCTACTCATATTCTGGCTTCTTGTTAGAATTCTGTAGAATGTAGAATCTTGTATATACTTACATTATATATCATATAATTATATATATATGTGAGTGTGTGTATCATGACTTTTAGCCAATCTCATGAGTTTGGAGGTCTGACTTGTGAGGTTTGGGAATAGCGGTAGCAAAGTCATTAAAATTCAGCTAAATATTTGTTACATTTGATTGCATTATTGATGCAACTCTACAAAAATCCATGGGAGCTGACTCATTATATTGCTGAGTTATTCAGGTCTCTTCAAAACATCCTACTGGTGCACTGTATGTGCTGATTATCTAGTGGGAAAAGACAACCACAGTGGCCTACTGGTCAGTTAGGAAAAGAACGGAACTAACATTTAGCTTGTGGTAAACCATTATATTTAGCTAATTTTCAGTAGAAGTGATTTTTATTAGGCCTTTTGTTTAAAACTTATATTGCAATGGAATTTGTTAAAGCTGCTGACAGTTTTTTAAACATGCATGTGCATAGTTTCAGGCTATTACCTTTCTCAAGGCTTTTTGTGCTCAGATGGGCTAATTAGTTTGCCAGTGGTAAATAAATAACTCTTAGCTTTAAAGTTATTTTCCAGGCTGATATTTTCCATATAGACAATATATAAGAAAAAATAGACATAGCTCCAGTTTATCAGTCTTCATAAGTATTAATAACCTGGCAGGGTATAGGTAAACACGTGAATGTGCTGAATGCTTTTGAGTTGCATTAAAAGCAACAAGAATTGAAGATTGTTTACACCTCCAAAATTATTCACCAACTCATAGAATCAAACCTACTATGCACTGGGACAACAAAGAATTTAAGAGAATGACCTTTTTTAGACAAATCACTCCTATTTGATTCAAAATTCAACCAATCTATATCTGAAAGGTTCAAGGTACCTTGCTCAAACACCATTAAACCTATGGGAGCTGTGACTTCATTAGGCACAGAATCAAGCCAGTATTGGACTATAGCATGCAACTACTTTAGCACAGAGTTCTAGACAAATTTGAGGGAAAAATGAAATTCTCTTGAGGGTGTTATTCTTTTCAAGTAGTTCTTATAATTTACCCTCTTATTATTTTAATGACCAGGCTACTACTTATTGCTGCTCAAGGCATTTTCACAAACCATCTATAATTTTTGTACTTTCATACATATCTTTTGAAAAAAAAGAAAAAAATTCATTGCAAATCAAAATGGGTAAATTCAGCCAGTAAACTTGTGTACAGTGAGATAAAAATCAGTGTTTCATTACTTATTTATTTATTCATTTATTTAAAAATCTTTAACCAGAAAAATTCATTAAGATGGAATATCTCATATACAATGATGGCCTAGGGACGGGAGATGGATTAAAAAATGTAAATACTATTGGGTCTAATGTGTGTACCATGAACACAAATATGAAATTAATGTAAAAGTTTCTAACAGTATAATTCTTTAAATATATGTTTAAAATAGTTAGTGTAGAATGGGTGATAAGCTATAGATGATACATGCAGTAAACAAAGTGTCTCAAAAGAGACAAAATGTCCGCAAAATAATTGCTTGACAGTATTTTATACCAATTAATTCATTTGTATTTAATTAAAAGGAATCATAACAATTGTATGCCGTATAAAAGCCCCTTAGCTCTGTAGTTTTCTGTTGCCTTTTCAGAATTTTCTTGGGCTGGATATTGTTAGTCTTTTTGAATAATTCAACTAAATTGAATTTTCTTTAATTATTCTATTTTTTCCATGAGCAAGTAGCAATAAACAGCAACTTTATATCTCTTAGAAATGAGAATTTCAGAGAGACTGGGAACAGGATTTTCAAAAGTTCATCAACAATTCAAAAACACAAATAAAAAGGACTGATATTTCTAAATCAGGTAGGTACTAAAGAAAATACATCATCAATACTTAGCTCCTGGATCTAGGAGATGTATTGAGTGTGTGAGGATCCCCACAGCAATATTTGAACAGTGACAGAAGTATAGAAGTGAGTCAGATCTCGAGTTTATCTCAGGTATCAGGTCTTTCTTTATGCCCACCAAGACCTCTTTGGAAGGACTGCAAACCCTTCCAGACATGTAATCCATTTTAGGATTTAATAACGATTGGACTGAGCTCCAGAAGGCAGGAGGAGTAGCTTTGAGTCACCCTGGGGCTAGAATGAGAAAAAAAGAAATCTGAAGAGTCCATCACCACCTCTCTCCCTACACATACACACATTTATTAGTATTCAACAGGAGCTGGGAAGGTGAGGAGCAAGCAAGTCTCCTGTTTCCCCTTCCACGTGTTTCTTAAAAACTTTGTCTCTCTCTTTGCAGAGAAGTAAGGAGACACATCCCCAGAAGCAAAGAGCCCATGCACCACCAAGTACTAATACCACAACTCCAACACTAGCATGCACTACAGTTGTCCCAGGGCTAAATGATCCTCCTCCAGCAGTTTCTTTCTTATAAGTATCCATCAGTTCATAAGCATTTAGTAGACTTCTACTTCAAGAGCTAAGCCTTGCTTATGGTTTCTTGATGTTACTCAAACATATAGGATTTGGCACAAGGAATCCATTTTTGGCCATTTTGGCATATCTAGAATGAAACACATTGGGGGACCATTAATTTAGCCCTTACTTTGCTAATTTGAAAACTTTATAACTCTCAGTAACTTCCCACATACCTAAACTAGGATACTTTAGCAAAATGCAGTAGTCTGTGTGGGTTTAAGGAAAAGATGGGTGGTAGGATGCTATTCTTTGTATGATTTTCATAGTACTCTGTTCATAACTAAAACAGTCTTCTTCCTAAGGGAGCAGTAGTCCCATCTCCCCTGAGCACTCCCAGGAGTGACTAGAAATAACGGTCACAAGCTGGCAGAGGGTAGATTTAGACTAGACATCAGGAGGTGCTACTTCACGGTCAGGGCAGCTAGGATCTGGAACCAACTTGCAAGAGAAGTGGTGCTGGCTCCTACCCTGGGGGTCTTTAAGAGGAGGCTAGATGAACACCTTGCTGGGGTCATTTGACCCCAGTACTTTTTCCTGCCATGGCAGGGGGTTGGACTTGATGATCTGCTCAGGTCCCTTCTGACCCTACCAACTATGAAACTATGAAATTGTTAGAATGGGCTCTCAGAGACAAGCTGGGTTCTTTCTATCTTGCACATCATCAGTAGTGGTCTACAAGAAAGATTTAATTCTTTGTTCCACCTCTGGAATTCAGTGGCAATCGACTGGAGTTTTTTAAGCAATCAGCTCAATAGTATACCCAATGGAGAGGCATCCAAGTGCCTCTCTGTTGCTTTTGTATGTTCAAAACCAGTAAAAATGAGCAAAATTTTATTTTATTACTGAAGTCAGCCAGTTTGACTCTGACTACACATGGAGCAAATAGGATGAATAAGATGGTGCCATTTTCACATGAGCAGTTTCTAAGAGTAATCTATAATTATAAAACCAAACTATGCTTGTCAAATTAAGTGAACAAACTGCATTTTGTGGGACATTATCCATGATTATTTTATTGTTTAATCACTTAATAGCTAATTCATAAAATCTGATCATCTGCAATGGCTCCCTCAGTCATTAGTGCAAGTTAACAAAGTTATATATGAAAAAAGGTAATTAAAATGGCAACTTTCATCATATGCTACAGTAACTATCAAACCTTTCAGACAATGCATTCCTTAGCTGTAGAAGAAATAAACAGTGAAAAGGGCATGATTTTGAAATAAATTCATTTAGAAATTGAAATTGTAGATTTAGATTTATGTAGGTAACTGTCATACTGACAAACATACAAGAAAACAAGCAAAACAGATGTTTTATGAGGCTTGAGAATACAGTGATTTTGCTTGCATACCGTTCTGGCCAGGGAGATATTCATCTCCTAATATAAGTGCAAAGTGGCATAAATATTTTTGCAACAAATGTTTTGTTATTTAAGGGAATTGTTCTTCAGCATCAAGCTCACTGAAGAAAGCTCATGACCAAATATAATTGATGCAGGGTCCTTATAGGTATATTTAAGTGTTATGACATATAAATACCTTACAGTTTTTCCTTTATTTTGCAGTGTTGTCCATAGACTCCCTTGGCATAATTCTCCTCACCTCCCGATACAAATCAGGAGTAATTCTTGATAAATATGTGAAGACACCTGAGTGAAAAAATGCAAACCAGTCTGCTGGGAAAATCACTGAGTTGTGTACTTTGGTCATAAGTGTTCCTTGTAGTATGATGAGGGGAACTAGAGAGGATACATTTTATGAGGGTCTTGGGTTTGTGTTCTTATGGCTCAGAGTATTTACATATAACTCTCTACATATGCCGTATTATATAGACTCAAATGAGATGAGGTTTCCCCCTACCAGTGCTCCTCATTTTCCATTCACGTACAATGAAACCTCATTAAATATATTGGCTATCACTAAACTGCTAACAAAAGAGGTATGTGCTCAGTAAGGGAAAGGGAAACCAACTATGAAGTTGATTAAATGCAGCCAACACTGAGTATGACTATAAAATGGATGGCTCATTTTGGGCAAACATACTGATGGGAACCTTTTGTTGTTGTTGTTGTTATTGTTTTTACACATTTTATTAGACTCGCACTAAAAATCACCTTACACTTACAAAACTACACATTTTGAGTGTCCTTGTTTTACCAAGACTTCATAGCACAGAAACAACTACATATCAGAAACATACAGCTACATATATTAAACCCTTAAATAACATATATCAACATCCCACCAAAACCAAACCCTTACAGAAATCTTTTTCTTCATACAGAACCCCATGTAATAATCTGTTACTTCATTAACACCTGAAACTCTCTGCCCTTCCCATCAGTCCTCTCTGTTGGTTTAATGAAACAAGTTATCTAGTCCTCTTTCCTCTACTTCTTCTCCACCTCTTCTTCTCCGATCTTTTCCTTTGTCCCAATTTATGTAATATTTCAGTTCATGTGGCCCCAGATTCAGGCACTCTTTTAGTGACAGCCAAACCCTTAAACACCCAGAGGTTTCCATAAATTAGTTTTTAACACATGCTAATAAAGGTATTAATAACATTCCTTCTGGTCCTTTTGGTATAAGTTCATATAGTACCATCTCCTGCGCTAATAACAAGTTTATCTTGGTGACACTCAGAAAGCAGCAGACCCTTTCTCACACCTGCTTTGTGTATGTACAATCCCAAAACACGTCCCACTGTTTCTTCTTCCCTGCACCTCTTCCTTGGGGATCTTGATGAGCTTGTCAAGTGCCACCTATGCTGCACTTCTCTCACTGGCAAGATATTTCTTACAAGCATCC